CATGTTTCCCCTTCCACAAATTTTGCGGGTAATTGGAAGTGATGAAAAAATATGATTTACTGTTGGTCAGAATGAGCGGGATCTTTTAAAATGCCTTTAATAAATCCATTTCAAATAATCGCGTTCATTTCGACACAATCAAATAAATTTTGGATTAACTTCCGGTTCCGGTTACCCTTTGTAATGATCTGACTTTTATAGCCAAAGGATTTGCTCGCCGGATGGGGTCCGGGTACCTATTTTGACTAGTTACTTTAAATCACGGTAGATGGTGTGAAGCGCCATCTATGTTTCGATTAATTTCGGAACTATTTCTTACTATGATGTAGAGGAGAGGCGTAGTCATTGACGAGTCTTTATTTAAACCTTCGAAAGAGAATATATTATTTAAATAAAAGAATAATAAAATATACAAAAATGAATTATTACATAAAATAATATAAGAACGAAAGAATCTATAGAATGCAAATAAAATACTAATCTTTAGAAAATATAACGATAAAAGAACTAGCTATTCTAGAGGAGCATTCGCTGAGCTCCGATCACGCTCGTCATTAATCCAGAATAAAGCGGATTTAAACATATTTACCACGTTCGCGAAGATGTTGATTAGGACAGCGCATATTACTTTCGCGTGGGGTACTTTATAGAATTTACCCCCTAGATGACGGTACGGACAGATACTAGGGTCGTGTACGCTAGGTCGATTATTATTCGTAATCGGGAAGAAGCTAGATATTGGATTCGGTTTCAATATTCATGCCGGACGCTAAGCTAGTGCAAAGTAATATTCACTAGGTGTCTCCTCCATCCGAGAAACGCCTCGAGATGGGGAATCCACCTAGTGCATCATCTTTGTCAAGAGAGGAGCGACTCTACTCGACAAGGAGGGTCCTGAAGGAAGTGAGTGAGTAACCTGGTTCACCAGGAGGAAGGAAGGCGAAGGGTGTTATTGTTCCGCAGGAGCGCCTACAGGAACAAGTACAGCTCCTTCTAGGAAGTGAGGAAGGCTCTGGTGTTCAGAGAGACGCACCTCTACTGAGCACCAAGTAGCCAGGAGTGAGTCGCTTCCAATCGTCAGAGAAGCACCTCTAGACGAGTGGGAAGAAGGCTGAGGAAAAGATGCGAGACGAAAGGTATATCACTAGCAGCTAGGTGACAGCGAGTGGTGGGGGAAGAGAGTGACACTACTACTTACGCTGTCTACTTTCTCTCTTTTCGCCGTCTTACTTCAACTCTCCCTTGTGGATCTCTACGTCTGATGACCTAGACAACGAGACAATTGAAGAAGAACGCTAGAAGTGTTTAAAGCTTAGGCAGGAGGAAGATGAGTATCTTCAAAGGATCGAAGAGGACATCGCCATGATGGTAAAGTTTTGCGATGTTCAGAAGAATGTCAACATGACTATTAAGGATGGACTTAAGACTCTGCAGGATATTGTCAGTCAGGCGAAGACAAAGCACACCCTAGGAAATAATGGAAATTAAACCGAGAAGAACGAAAGAGGAAAATAGAGCGTATCCATGAAATGCGGCTTTGGGGCGCGAAGTTATAGAGGTGCAGAAGCGAAGAAAAAGCTCTGTCAGTCCGGAGAGGACTGACGCTGAGGCGAAGGAATAAAAGCAAGAGGAGACACCTCTTGTCAAAAAGATTGTAAAGGAGACGATAAAGTATGCCGAAGTACTGAACAAACTTCGGAGGGAAGTGAATGCGTCAGCCAGAGAGGCAAGGTCTACAAAAAAAGGGAGATCTCCTGATCAAAATCTGAGGAGACTCCAATAAGGAGGTATTTACCGCTGAGGTTACCAAAGCGAAAGCATAGAGAAGGTGCACGACGAGCCACACTGGAGATAGGCGACCTGGATTGCCTTATCTAGAAAGAAGAGGTCCAACAGGCGATGGCGGAAGTGCTCTAGAAGCCAGGAAGCAGGAAATTGATCATCCTAGGATCCAACCGGACGAGGAATGAAGCTCGCGGTTGTAGTCACCAAACCAGAGGAGGCAGACGGGCTGGAAGAAGTGGGACGCATAAGGATTGGCTTTATGTCTTGCCCAAAAAAGGAGATTGATGGTCGTTCGTTGCCACCGGTGCCTGCTATACAGCCAAATAGAAAGAGTTTGTAAGGCAGCGGACAGATCGACTGCCTGCATCAAGTACGGTGAAATTAATCATAAGTTTGCAAACTGCAATAGAAGCCCAAGCTGCTTCTTATGTAGAGAAAAGTATGGCGATAAGGCGAACATTAGCCATATCGCAGGTAGCAGAGGATGCGGAGTCTTTAGAACGGCCCTTGAGGAGTCCAAAAAGACTCTCGCACGAACAGAGAATAAATAGGACAGAAAGATCGGTAACACGGTAAGAATCACGATAGCTAGATCCCAGGGACCTTCACTTACGAAGTTTAAAGCTTGACGGTAGTTCCGTATAGTATGAGAATTAGTCCAGCCAAAGGGTGTGTGGATTTTAGTGGATTAATCATAAGACGTTGCAAATTGTTGTATTCTTTTAATTTTCTTAATTTCTTGTAATATCCTTATAAATAAAGAATTAAAAAAAATTACAGGAAAAGACGGTGCACCAGCACTTTCACTTCATGGTCGAACTAAATCTGGCAAAATAGAAGTGACACCAGCTCCTGGTGACTATGATCCACAAAAAGCAGAAAAAATTATTCTCGACAATTCACCGAAATATTCTTTTGGAATTAAAGTACATGCCGAAAAAACTAGTACTACTCCAGGTTAGTCTATAACGAAATTACCTATAGTCAAGTATTTTTTTTAACATTTTTAAATTAATTTCATAAATTATAATTTTCCATTAAATTTTTTCTCTATATTTTCTTAAGTAAATTTTAGGATTCTTAATTTATTTATATATTATATAAAATTTAACTTTTTCAGTACGCATTTATATATTCACAAGTGAATCGACTTTTGCACTTCGATATTAATTCATAAAAACATTATTTTTCATGTATTTTTTCTTATAATTAGAAAAGATATTAAAAGAAATTTTCCGTGCAGAAAATTTACTGATCATCTTTAGTACATAATTCTGAGAAGAACCAGATTTTTTTTTGGCAGTCAGATCTGAATTAGGTCTGGCATAATATTTTTAACTAGACCTGTGTTAGATTTTACAATCTCTGCACGGGCTTATTTGCTAAATAACAAGCACTCACAATTAGTAATGTTATTTGAACTACATTTTTTAGATCATACGCTATTTTTCTAACTAATTACTAAAGCCTTTTTAATTTTAATTTTGTTCTAAAAATACAGTTTTAGATAAAAAATAAAAATTTTGTCAAGGCATTATTTTTTGTGGTATTATAAAGTTTGCAAGATTGAAAAATCCCTTCGCAGTATTTTCTAAAGAATAAAAAAAATTTGATATACAGAAAGTAAAATTAGTTCAAATAACTATTTTTGACTGCACAATTTACAAGAGAATCCTTTTGGAATTTAAACATAATTCAACATTATATTTAATTTTGAAAAATTTTCTATTCTTTTCCTTGTTTTAAATTTGAATTTTAAATGTATTATTATATATTTTATTATTTATATATTTCAAAAAATTATTATAAAATAATTTTGTTTTTATTTATAAAATAATGTTTATATTAAAGATAATTTGTGAAAATATACAAATTGATATTTTAATGTAGCACCGGGCGATTATAAAGCTGAAATAGTGAATTTCGTCAATGTTCCACAATACAGTTTCGGCATAAAAACTATGACGGAAAAGCCGAATGAAACTCCTGGTAATTATGTTACATTTTTTTTATTTTTTATATTTTATACAGTGTTTAAAAATTGATTAAATGCGCAAAAAAAAGAAAATTTTGTTCAATTCCTAATTGAATTCAAATCTCTTTAAACTTACAGACATTTTCTTCTCTAAAAATAAAAGAAGGTAAAAAGTGTGAAAAAGTAAATTATTTTGCTAGATATTAGGCACTTGTACACGCAATAAAAAAATGCATGTAGCACTTTAAAAGAAAAAATTAGCTTTGTCATTTTATTAATTATATTTTTTAATTCACAACACCAAGAAATTATTGCAATTTACTAAAATTGAATTTAAATAATATATATTTTTGAAAATAATGCATAAAATTAAATTATATTTAAGCAAAAACATTCGCATGAATCGCTTATCATTTTTTCAAAAGTACTTAATTTTTTTCTTTAACGTATTTTGAAATATAATAAATGTAATTTTTTTAATTTATCCGGAATATTGGATTTACCATATAAAATTTTTAAAAACTGCCATCGGACTCGTAATCAGAGACCCAGAAAATCTCTAAGAAACAATTTTCAAAGCATTTCGAACGATTTTTTAAAATTTACGCCATCTTGGATCCGCCATATTGAATTTTGAAAAACTAATATTGAATGGGTAATCAGTGACCCAGAAAACCCTTGAGTAAAATGTTTCGAAGTATTACAAACGATTTTTCAAAATGGCCGCCATATTTAATCCGCCATTTTGGATTTTTGAAAATAAACTAATTAAACTAATAGATCGTGAACAGCGATTCATAAACTGCAAGTATTTTGTAATTATTTCTTTAAAAAAAAATTAACTTTCCAAATCAATGAGGTTTATTTTGTATTTTCCATTTACTTAAAGTATAGTTTTTTATTGATTCGGAAAATAATTTAAGATAAATTTGAAATAGTTCGGAATTTACATATGAAATTAATTGGCAATTATTTCTCAACAATATGGATTTAGTCTGTGGTCAAAAAATCCTAATACGAAATGAACCCGGAAAAATCTGGTATTTTGTATATAGATATGTACAAAATTATTAATCAGTATGTAAGAAATTCAAATTTAAACTAGGTAGGAAAAAATTTTAATTTAATTATTTATAATTTTATTTCTTTTACCTCATTGGAATTTTCCAATTTTCCAATTAATCTGCTATGTAAATTATTAATTATTAATTCAGCATCAATTATAAACAATATTATCACAGTCAGTGCAAATCTCACTTTAGTGTAACATCGTAGTTGCTACCAAGAAATTATAATATCATATCATGATCTGGAATATTATTTTAATTTTTTTCTCCCTTATAATTGTTAATTACATTCTTAAAATAATTAAAAGACAAACATTTTTTAAAACTCATGGAATACCACACGAAACGGCTGTACCAATATTTGGCAATATATTACCAGTGATAACTCGTAAAAAAGGTCTTGCTGATATAGTAAAAAAATTGTGCGACACAAATTCAAATGCAAAATACTGTGGATTTTATGATTTCACAAATCCGGTAATTATTCTCCGTGATCATGAATTAGTTAAATCAGTTTTAATCAAAAATTTCGAGAGTTTTACCGATCATGGTATACTTGGACCAGAAACAAGTGATCAACTTTTTGTTAGAAATTTATTTAATTTAAAAGGAGAAAAATGGCACGATGTTCGTAATTTATTGAGTCCTGCATTTACATCAAGTAAAATGAAAATATTCTATAAACTTATTTCCAAGAGTACTATTAATTTTGTCGATGGTTATTTAATAAATGACGCAAAAGGTAATGAAATGAGAGAAATGAAAGAGGCCTTTTCACGATATATCAATGATGTAATAACAAGTTGTGCTTTTGGAATATATATAAATACAATGAAAGATCTAAAGAATAATTTTTATATAATTGGCAAAGAAGCAACAAATTTTGCTAAATTTTATTTAAAAATTATTTTAATGAGGGGATTTCCAATTCTTATGAAATTGTTACGTGTCAAATTGTTAAATTCAAAAATTAATAAATTTTTCCATGAAACCATTAGATCGACAATTAATATGAGAGATAAGATGGGAATAACACGACCTGATATATTGCAAATTTTAATGAATGCCAGGGGAAATGAAATGAAAATTGATCTCACGCCTGAAGAAATAACTGCTCAAGCTTTTCTCATTTATTTTGCTGCGTACGATACAACAACAACGTGTTTATCCTTTATGACACATGAACTTGCAATTAATCCAGAAATTCAATCGCGATTACAAGATGAAATTGATTCTGTTTTTCATAAAACTAATGGTGATCCTTCATATGATGCAATTAATGAACTAGAATATTTGGAAGCAGTAATTAATGAAACAACAAGAAAATATCCAATTTTTGCCTCATTAGATAGAGTTTGTACGAAACAATTTAATCTTCCACCAGCGGTTCCGGGAGCTAAATCAGTTGTCGTGAAACCTGGTATGATAATTTGGATTCCAGTTGTTGGTTATCATTATGATTCTAATTATTACAAGGATCCGGAATTATTTAATCCAGATAGATTTTTGAAGAATGGAACTGCTAGTAGTAAATCAACAAAATTTTTGTCATTTGGTATTGGTCCTCGACAATGTATTGGAAATAGATTTGCAATGCTTGTGATAAAAACAGTATGTTTTCATTTGCTGTCTCGATTTACTATCAGAATTTCCTCTAAAACAATTGTACCATTGAAATTGAGTACAAAATCTCTTGGATTCGGTACCAGAGGTGGTTATTGGATAAAACTGGAGAGAAGGGAAAAAAATCGTTGTTAAAAATTAAAATATAAAATTGAAATATAAAAGTCAATATTTTTTTTTACATATTTTGTAATTTAATTCTGTGACAGGTGAACATGTTTTATTAAATATTTATATTAATTACAATTAAAAATTAGGGTAAAAATAATGTTAACTTTAAGTTGAATAAAAATTCTTTATCTAATGATTTTAAATTAATAATTTATGTAAATATAATTACTATAATTCTTCATTTCTAGATTAAAAAAATTAAATACCTAATTCAGAAAATTAATTTTCATTGCAAAACTTTTTGTATATCTCGTATATTATTTTCAATATATGTAAATTGATACATAATTATAAACTAATGCTTATTTGGTGTAAACATTTAATTCCTTAAAAAACTGTTCATTGCTTTTTCATCCCATTCCTTTGTAAGTAAATTTTTTGCGTTTCTTTTTATGCAGTAATAAAAAAAAAATTAATTGGATGAAATTTGAGATTTTTAATATTTTAGTAAATAATAATTATCAATATTTAAGAAACACTCGATGACACTAACGAAAATAATATAAGAAATTTTGTTATTTATTTATATTAATTATATTTAATAAAATATCGTCGTAAATAAATAAATATAAATAAAATTAAAAATAAATAAATTAATTAAATAATGGTGTTTAATTTAATTAATAATTAAATTAAATTAAATTACATTTATTTAAATGTAAATAATATATTTCCCGTATTATTTTATAATAAAGAAAATATTTTAATGAATGGAAATCACAAAATAAACCTTTGAAAATTTGGTATGTCAATCTAGTATTTATTATCATAAAAATCCTAGTAGAAATATTAAAATAACTTGTATATACGTAATGCAAAAGTATTAAATAATTTGAAATATGATTGGTAAAATAAATATACATATTAAGTTAATTAGTTGACTTGAAATTAATAATTAAATAATAATATACATATTTTATAAATATAGCACCAGGTACCTATTTTCCTGAAAAAGTAAGACTTGATAAGGCTCCTGAATTTAGTTTTGGTCACCGTACTCCACTTGAAAAACCTAATGAAACACCAGGTAATTATATAATTAATTATAAATTTAAACTTTTAAAAAACGATAATTAATTAAATTAATTATTAAATGAAATAGTAGAATATATAAATTTACCTTCTTTTCCGGTAATCAAACCGCAAAGGAAGTTAATGAGTAAACCTTTTAGAATTAAAATCAAGAGTGCCGATTGAGTATATTTATTACATAAAATCTACTTACAATTTGTTAATTAAAAATTCGTCAACGAATAATCATGCCAGAAATTATTTCCAGTAATTATATTTCAGTAATTATTTATATCATCCAAATTGTTGATTAAAAATTTATTGTGAAATTAATTTTGATATAGTTTGCTTAATATTTTGTATTATAATTATGTGTGAATATATTACAGCTCCTGGAACTTATTGTCCAGAAAAAGTTGATTTTGGCAAAGGTCCACAATACAGTTTAACTGGTAAAGGCTATATCGACAAACTCGATAATCTTCCAGGTAAAGATAAAATCCATTTCTATTTTTGCTCTTTTATTAAAATAATATAATTGAGGATAAACATTTTTATCTTATATCAAAACATTGGAATTTTAGCTCCTGGAACTTATTCACCAGAGAAGGTAAACCTCTTTAAATCACTACAATTCACGTTTGGTCTCAGAACACTAACAGAGAAACCCAATGATTCGCCAGGTAAATTTATTTACTTATTAATAATCGGATATTAACAATAAAAAGCATTAACTTAAAAAAATATAAACGATTTTCAGCTCCAGGAACTTATTGTCCGGAAAAAGTCTATTTAAATAGAGGACCAGAATATAGTTTATATGGAAAAGGTCCAACCGAAAAACCCAATGATGTTCCAGGTAAAAAATCATTAAATTATTCGAAGTAATGAATATACAAAATATTATTTATTATATATATATATATGAACAAAATATTTTAGCTCCTGGTACTTATTGTCCTGAGAAAGTTAATTTAAATAAAGGACCAGAATATAGTTTATATGGAAAAGGACAATCTGAAAAACCTAACGACGTACCAGGTATATTTAACTTTTAAATATAATTTTAAAAAACTGATAAAAAGGAAAATATATATTTTTTCAGCTCCTGGAACATATAGTCCTGAAAAAGTGAATTTAAATAAAGGGCCAGAATACAGTTTATATGGAAAAGGACTTGTAGAAAAGCCGAATGATATGCCAGGTATGAAATTTAATTAATTTTAATTAAATTAATTATTTAATCAAATTAATTGTAATTAAATTAATTTTAATTAAATAAATTATATAATTAAACAATTACTAAGGGAACCTAACATCGACTATAAATTAGAAAACTTAATTTTCAGCACCTGGAGCATATAGTCCTGAAAAAGTAAACTTAAATAAAGGTCCAGAATATAGTTTGTATGGAAAAGGATTGTCAGAAAAGCCAAATGACATCCCAGGTATAGAAACAACTATTTTTTTAAATTATTTAGTAAAAATAAGCGAAACAATTTAATATATAAACAAAGAGAATTAAATGAAGAATTAATCCTTCATAGCACCTGGAACATACAGTCCTGAGAAAGTGAATTTAAATAAGGGACCGGAATACAGTTTATATGGAAAAGGTCCATCAGAAAAACCAAATGACATTCCAGGTTTGTAAATTTTTGTCGTTTTTTGATTGAGGGTTTTGCTGATTGTAAATTCATTCTAAAATCATTTAAAAAAATAATTTACTAATTATATACAATTAATACCATTCATTACTATTAAATTATTTAGAGATATTACTTCTGGCTCATTTGCTTTCAAATAACATTTAGAAATTCATATTGTGTGTTTCCCTCTTAAGGGTCAGCTAAATTGCGTCTCATGGGAACCTTCCACTAGAACATTAAAGGGATATTCCACTCCTTTTACTAGAATATGAAGAGAAGATTTCTTGAAATTTCCTTAGAAGTCCTGAATATTAAGGAAATAAAGCTTCCTTAGGAAAATTCAGGAATTTTTCCCTACATTTATTCCTGTGAAAGATCCTCTTGATATTCCAGTAAATAATTCCCATGAAGTTCCAAAGGAAGGTTCCCTTGATACAAAATTGGAATTAAAAACATTTTGTAACAAAAAATTTTTATTAGCTCCGGGAACGTATAGTCCAGAAAAAGTCAATTTGAACAAGGGACCAGAGTATAGTCTATATGGAAAGGGGCCATCAGAAAAACCAAACGACATCCCAGGTATTTGAATATTAGATTACTCCTCGACCTAGAAAAAATTAAAACTAATTCCTAATTTCATTAGCTCCTGGAACATACAGTCCGGAAAAAGTGAATTTAAATAAGGGACCCGAGTATAGTTTATATGGGAGAAATTCACCAGTAAAACCTAATGACATCCCAGGTTTGTAAATAATTGCCAAAATTTTTTCTGTTTTACAAAATAATTTAAAAAAAAACTAATTTCCCAACAATAAATTTCATTAGCACCTGGAACCTATAGTCCTGAAAAATTTAATCTGAATAAAGGACCAGAGTACAGTTTATATGGAAAAGGACAATCAGAAAAACCTAATGACCTCCCAGGTGTGTGTAAATAATTGCCAAAATTTTTTCTGTTTAACAAAACAATAAAAAGATATACTAATTTCCAAACGATAAATTTTATTAGCTCCTGGAACATATAGTCCTGAAAAATTTAATCTGAATAAAGGACCAGAGTACAGTTTATATGGAAAAGGACAATCAGAAAAACCTAATGACCTCCCAGGTGTGTAAATAATATTGCCAAAATTTTTCCTGTTTTACAAAACAATAAAAAGAAATACTAATATCCCAACAATAAATTTTATTAGCTCCTGGAACATATAGTCCTGAAAAATTTAATCTGAATAAGGGACCAGAGTATAGTTTATATGGAAAAGGTCCAGCAGAAAAGCCGAATGACATCCCAGGTATGTGAAGATCAGATTTCTCTTCTTGATCTTAAAAATATAAGAACAAAAAATTAATTTCTAATTTCATCAGCTCCTGGAACATACAGTCCTGAAAAAGTAAATCTGAATAAGGGACCAGAGTATAGTTTATATGGAAAAGGTCCATCAGAGAAGCCAAACGATATTCCAGGTATAAAGGAGTTTAATTGATATTGTTTTAAAATAAAAAATATATCTTATATAATTATCATTGGTTTTTGTTAGCTCCTGGAACATACAGTCCGGAAAAAGTGAATTTAAATAAAGGACCAGAATACAGTTTGTATGGAAAAGGTTTATCAGAAAAGCCAAATGATATTCCAGGTACATTAATATTTAAATAATTGCTAAAAACAAATGAAAAATCTATTAAATAATAAATAAACATATCGGTTTTATTTATCTATAAATAATTTTGTTTCAGCTCCGGGAACATACAGTCCTGAAAAAGTTAATTTAAACAAAGGACCTGAATATAGTTTATATGGAAAAGGTGCTGCGGAGAAACTCATTGATACTCCTGGTACAATTATTTTTCTCTCCTCTTTTAAATTAGACAAAATACTCTTAAAATTCAAAATTTCTTATAAAAACGTTAAATCTTTTCAGCTCCGGGAACCTATAGCCCTGAAAGAATAAATTTAAACAAGGGACCAGAATACAGTTTATATGGTAAACCTGCTCCGACAAAAATGAGTGAAAATCCTGGTAAGATTCATTCCTTTTAGAATTCGATGAACATATCAATAGTAAGAAGTTTAGTAATTCTGGTGAAAATTACAATTGTTTAATAATTAATATCAGTTATCTTCTTTTTCGAAATTCTCATTGTTAATGAATTTTTAGCACCTGGAACATATAGTCCAGAAAAATTGAATTTAGATAAAGGACCAGAATATAGTTTAACCGGAAAGGGTCCATCTACAAAACCAAGTGACATTCCTGGTATTTTAATAAAATTAATTCAACTTTTATCTTTCCCTTCTAATTTTATATTTAAATACAAATTTTATTTCTTTGAGAATAAATTAAACATTATTTTCTAATCGTTTATTTGAATTAATTTTGCTGTTTCATGTTTCGATGATTCTATGTTATAGGTCCTGGCGAATACTGTCCGGAAAAAGCGATGTTGATGCTTGAAAAAGCATTCCACTTCACTTTTGGCTTACGTTCACCAATGGAAAGATTGAACAGTATTCCTGGTAACAAAATAATAAAAAATTGTCACAGAGGCTTTATGCTAAAATACTGCTTATTCACAATTTGTGCACTAACTTATTTTTCAAACACAATTTTTTTTTTGTTAAAGCAAACTAATAAATCGCATAAAAGTGCTTCTCTCCAGACCCATCATGTTTAATCCCAAAAATTTACAACAAAACGAGAAACTAACGAAGTGCAAGTCGATTCTCTAGAAGAAGTAATTTAAATCGTAGTACCTTTGTTCTCCAGGTGATTAATTAATATATATTGAGGAATTTATATTTATTAGACTGAAATACGGTTGCTAAATTAATTTGGGAAATGAAGGGAAATATCTCCCTATTAATTTCGGATCATATAGTGTATTATTTGTTCCAAAGAATAAGTTAATAGTAATTAATATTGTCTTCGGGAGCATCAATTTTGTTTAAAATCCATCCAATTTTTAGAAGCTGGAATAATAATTTGAACTTTTGATGAAATTATCATTCGAACGTTTGGAAATTCGAAGATTGAATTCGTTCATTATTTACTTCAGTCTAATAGAATAATTTCTCGATTTAGAACTAATAATATTTTAGCAGTGAAACTAACGCTTTTCACTTCATTTAGCGCCTAATGTTTACAATATTCCATCTGGCCTTTGTGGAAATAAAGAGGGTAACAAGAAAACAGCACCTGCTTATTCAATATCGGGAAGACAAAAAGTTTTCACTGACAATAGAATTCTTGTACCAGGACCTGGTGCTTACGAAGCCATAAAACCAGATGCAATCAGATCAAAAAGTCCAGCGTACAGTATTAGTGCCCGATTCCAATTGCCAAATGATCATTCACAAAAACCTGGACCTGGTGCTCACTGTCCTGAAAAGGTATGATTATTTCCTTCGAAGAGAAAAAAGGAACTATTTTTTTAATACGGTTTTTAAATTAATGTGGATGATAATTTTTACAATGACCGGTTATACTATTTTTAACTATTACCTTTTACCATCATCAAAATAATATAAAGGGGAGATTTTGGAAATATAAATAACACGATTTGAAGACAACGACGATTATTTCAAATTGAGACTCATCGGAATTGAAAATCAACGATGACTTTAATTTCTCCGCACACTCGAGAAAATCTTATTGGCGCGAAACAAATAATGACGTATTAATAAAATATACAATTTAAACGCTAGATTTAGTAAGCTTAATGTTTAGAAGAAATACAAGAATGCATCTTCAAGTATTAATTTTGTTTACCGTCAAGATCAATCTCCTCAAGAAGTCAGAAATTAATTAATTAATAAAATAATTCAATTATATTTGTTCGGTATATCTTTTCTTTACCCTGTTTTATTAGTTCTAGCTTAAAGCTTGTAAATAAATCAAGGATTTTAAAAAATATATTAAAACATTAATTATGTTGTGATCCTTTAGAAATAATCGATTCTGTTATCCCTTTATTGATGATTTCGTCGTCTTTCTTCCTGATACCTCAGTGTTCCGTGATCTAATTTCTCTTTCTCTCTTTCTATTCGAAGAAACAAAAATGGAATCTCTAATGGGGATTATTGATTAAAAATAAAAATCTATATTCAATAAACTCATAAAAACCTTTAAAAATAATCTTGAGGAAGAATTCTGTCAAAAAAAACTCAAAATCTCAGCTTAAATAAAACACTTTGTTATGAATTATAAAAATTCATAATTCCAGTAATTAGAAATACCAAACATTTATTTAATTAATGAAATCATTTAATTTAGTAAAGTGGCTTAAAATTGTGATCCGCAATTAAATAATATTTCATTTTTATTCAATTTAGGTTCACTTGGACTATCCACCAGCGCATACTTTTGGAATCCGTCATTCACAGTACGTTTGTAATTTAAAAGACGCAGTATATTAATGTCAAGAAAGAAAAAAAATCAACAATTCGACTAAAGCTTTTGACAAATGGACAACAAATTACATAGCCATCTATACTGATGGTTATGTGAATTCATTCTGAAAAATTCAACCGGTGCTAAATATTTACTCCCTTCAATATTCAAGCATCAAGTTTTTTTTTACATTTACTTTATCATCTATTTGACTGGAACCTCGAGGACAATGAAAAAATTACCATTAAGCTATATAGTTGATTAATTTTAATGTTGCCAACAATACAATTATTATATCATATTCAAAAAATACTACTACTTTTTGTAATATTGCTTTCTCATATTGATGAGGTTTAATTAAATTGAAGTATTCTTTCGCAGATTTCAATTGAAGAGAATTTTTATTTTCTTTGAAAAAGTTTGACGAATTCTCCAAAAAATATAATTGAACCTTTTAGTATTATTAAGAAATATTGTTAATTTTATTTATTTCCTGTAACTATATAAAGGAACTTTTGAATTATGTATTAACTTTCTGATTTATAAATAGAATCAATTTTTACCAATCTGATCGAATATCTTTATTCGATGATTTTTTTTAATAATTGTAGGATCTTTTGCGGTTTTCTTACCTTTAATTATAATTAATTTTCGTAAATGAAAAAAAGATCCGCAATATATTTATAAACCTCAGATAGCCTTAGTTGCTAACGGAAATTATTTTATGAATAGAGAATTATACTCGATTTAATTAACAAGATTTTTGTGAATTTTAAGACTCATTTTAATGATTGATTTGTTTAGTTTTATTTAATGTAATTCAAATTTTTCTTTATCTTAACCAGTTTGTAGTTAAATTAGTCGATTTTCTAATTATTCTGTGATTCTAAATTAATTTAAATTCAGTTTATCGTTAATTTTTAGTACAATTTGGTATCCGGGATATTTAATAATCTGAAATTAAATGTAATTTCAATTTCATCATTAATGAATTTAATTATTTATTATTAATTGTATTTGAATAGAAAAATGTGGTTTTTATTAAATTCGCTGATCCATCTTTAAGTATAACTTATTTTTCATTTATAAATATAATTTAATTCTTGATAATTTCCGATTGTTATAATTTTTTTAATATGAGAAAGCAATAAATAGCATAACGTTGTTTGGAAATTGACAAAATTTTATTTCATTTATAAGATTAAATTACAATTGAAAATATATTGAATATTCTACCTATTGTTTCCATATCAAAATATCTAAAAAAAATTTTAGTAAAATATTTGAAAATATTTTTTTAAAAATATGCTTTGTTTCAGCAAAATTTTTCACCTTATTTTAAATTTTTAATTTCATTAGTCTTCAGTTTGTCAAACAGTTTTCCTTTTCTACACAATATTCAAATTATTTACCATTGCTTGTATACATTTTTTCTACAAATAAAATATAATGTATTTATAAATTCTCATTAAAAAATTGACTTTATTTACTTTCAATGCGTAATAACAGAATTTATAGGATTCAGTGAATCCCGCTGTTGCAATTCTCCTGAATTCGACAAAGCTGTATTCAACTTTTAAACTCTCTATTCCTACTAATTAAATGAACAAACTTTTGAGATTTAATTTTTTTCAATTCGTCATCACAAACTGAATTTTGCTTAGCGACAAATACCAATTGGACCTTGCCAAAAAAGTTAATTCAGATGAATTGAAATGAATTAATTTTTTTTGGCAAGATCCAATTCGTATTTGTCGCTAAGCAAGGTTCAGTAAAGCCATTTGTTCATTCAATTCATTTCATACCAATGAGTTTTTATCGGTTGAGAATGGAAATGAAATGACCAATTCCTTTATTGAATTTGTGCTGATGAATTGAAAAAGATTAAAGCTCAAAAATCTATTCATTGAATTAGTAAGAATAGAGAGTTTGTAATTTGAATATACAGCTTTGTCGATTTCAAGATAATTGCACCATAGCTCCAATTCGAATATGTACTTGGAACGTATTTTTACAATCTCTCGCAGAAGCTTCTACAGAAAATTCGTGAAGACAAGGAACAAGGAAGTGAAGGAGGTTCTCTTGAAGCGGAAGCTCCTACTGTCAAGAATACGTTCCTTTGCTCTATTTGTATTCAATGAGAAGCTCCTCAACTGAATACAGGTGATATTGATTCCAGTTAGCCAGAGTAGAATTTAGAATTTTTTTTAAAAAACAAAAATCACTAAACAAAACATAATTTAAACATGTTGAGGAATTAGAAATAAATATTCGCGTATATAATTTTTTTTCGCCTAAAATTTGACAGGCTTTATTTTTATTCTGTATTTTAAGAAAAATAACACAATATTGATGCAATAGATATAAATATATATAATATAAAATTCATATCATTAAGCTGAGTACAAAAAAACTGAGTATAAGTATACTGTAAGAGAAGCATCATGTGAGTCATAGGAAACATATGCAAAGCATAAGACACCCATTTATGAGTAATGGCGCATTGTGGCATGATGCTGCTCCTTCAGTATATATGTATAAACATAAAAAAATTAAAAACTTAACGTACATAAATTAAATTATCGACATTCAAGACGTAATTATAGACAAGTGTTATATCGTTAAAAAAAAACACTTTACCATATCAAGTCATGTAATTCTCGACAAATCAGAAGGAAATGGAGGAAATTAAGAAATCGTTAAGGAAATATATAATATTAAATAAATTCCTATAAAAAATATTAAATACTGTATAATTAAAAATTATACATTTTAAAAAATAATTTTTTAACGATATAACACTTATTTGCAGTGAAGTAAATTAAATGTACTTATTATGTAAATATCCCAAACTAACTACGTTGTAGAAATGGATAAAAAGATATTTCGTTTGATAATCGGAAATTTTTCTTTCAAAATTGCAATTATTATGTAAATAAAATATTTCTCTGAATTTTTTTAATTTTTTAAATGTTTTTACAACAACGTAGCTTATTTTAGATATTTTCATAAATAAATTACATAAAATATATTATTTAAAGCTAGTATACGTATAAAAATATATCCAATAATCGAAATTTATGCATTCAAAGGCACTTTAGTTATGAAATTTACCGAAGAAAAATTGTTATCTTTTTATTACTTCAATATAAAAACTAAGCAGGTGGATAAACAATTGAAATTCATTATTAAATTCTATATTATATAAAAATTTTAATATAATTTAATAATGCAATACTTGGCTAAAATAACAATTTTTCTTCACGTTAATGGCTTAAAATTCCACAGCCATAAATATAAAAAATATGTTCGTCATTTAAAACAAAAAAAATTTCATTTAAAACTTTTACAAAATTTATAAAAAAAGGAAATGACAATCAATAAACCAGTCTTTTTAATTAATTTTTGGTTTTAAATTAACAATTGTTTTTTTGAAATTTACCACTCTCAGTATTGCGACACATTAAAAAAGAAAGATTTTGTATATTTTCTTCTTCTTGAAATTTTTTATCTAATGAACATTTAACATAGAATTTGATTTACGTTCAAAAACACATTCACCTGCAATCCACGTTGATAGAATTTCCAATTTATCATTAAGCATTATAAGATCAGCATCGGCACCAAAATTAAGAACACCTTTGTGAGAATCTATTTTCAAAGATCTCGCAGGATGTAATGTTGCTGCTTCTAAAGCTTCCATAATTGTACATCCTGTAAATAGAAAAAATTATTTGTGACATTCTAAAAATTTTCTCTAATATAATTTATAAAAATTAATTATTATTATTATTTATTTATTAAATCTCTAATTATTTCTTAACAATTTAAAATATGAATATAATTTAATATATTACTTTCTAGAAAATTAGTAATTAATTAATAAATGAAAGTTTTAGAAATTTTTCTTTTACGAAACTATTTTTAAATTTAATTTTTGATATGAATTTAAGTATAAATTACCTGAGGTTTCTTTGAAAAATTGAACACACTCTGACATGTTGGCAATGCTACCGCAAAGAGTATTCGTTCCTGCGATATATGCTCTGCCATTTCGAACTTCAATTTCCTGTTGACCTAATTGATGAATTCCATCTTTTAGGCCCAAAGCTGAAATTGCATCAGTAACTAATACCAATCCTGAAAGACAAAAAAAAAAAAAAAAAAAAATGAATGCCTATTAATATTTACTAATAATTATATGATAATAAAAAGTCAGATTATCATTTACGTTTATTATATAAAATATAAAAAATTTTACATTAGAATTGTTTTAATATTTTTTCAATTTAGAATATATCAATAGAATTAAGTAAAATTTTAACAACTACAATTAAAATATTAATTTTACCTTCAGGATGAGTGCGATGAGCAATTCTCAAAGCAGCTGGATGTGTATGTACACCATCAGCAATGATTCCATAGTAAATAATTTTTCCCAATGGTATTTGATCTGATGTTAAAAGACCAACTAATCCAGGATCTCTATGATGAAACTAAAAAAAAAAATTGTTTCCTATTAATACTAATTAATATTTTTAATTATAAATGAAGAAAAATTTTATCAAATTGTTTCAGCTGATTCAAATTTTTAAAATTTCTCTATTAAAACTAATTTAAAATAATTTAAAACATTCAACTAAATGAAGAGTTAGCTAACAAATTAATTTGTTAATTTTTTCCTGAAATTTTAGACCAATAGTGAAAATTACAAGTCGGTAATTTGAACAGAGAAGAAAAAAAGTTGTTTTCAATTAATTTACACTCACCGGAAGCATAGCATTAAAAAGATGTGTAATAAAAGAAGCTCCATGTTTCACAGCTTCTTCACCTTCTTTTAAGTTTGCAATGGAATGTCCTGAATAAATAAAAATACAAATAAAATATCTAGTCGAAAAAAAAAATTATAAATCAGAAAGCAAATAAAAAAAAAGTGTAAAATTCTTACCAACGGATATCATGATATTTCTCTCATGTAATTCTTTTATCACTGATAATGCATTGGGAATTTCTGGTGCTAATGTAATGCAACATACGTTATTTAAATTACCATAAACATCAAGAACACTCTGAAATCCCTGCAAAATAAAAATAAATATAAATATTATATTCATTACATAAAACAATACAGGAGAGTATACACATAATGACAAGTTTAATACGACATGTCTCCGTTAGATGGCAGAAGCATTCATGGAGCATAAAATCGCATTTCTAATTTTGCGATCGCGCCTTTTTTTATAGGGCAATAATTAAATTAAATTATTAAAAAAAAACAATAATTTAATAAAAAAAAAATTACTAAATTGTTATATTTTCATAAAAATTGAATAAATTCATCTCTTAAAAAATTCTCTACTAGATAATTAATTTTAAATAAATTAATTTACAAACCTTATCAAATTGTCGTATCAAAATTTCTTCGTGAGCTCCCTTTTTACTTGAACTTATAAAGGGACCTTCAATATGAACTCCCAAAATTGCAGCACCTGATTTGCCACCTTTTGTTTTTGTTATTTTTGGAAGAACTTTTCTATATGTTTCCTTTGATGATGTCACTATTGTTGGACAAAAAGAAGTCACTCCATGTTCCAATAAATTTTTCGCTACTTTATTAATACCATTTTCTACATTGTCGATATTGTGCGAAAAATCAACACCAAAACCGCCTGGAAAAAAAGAAGAAAATATGAAATATAAATGTTAAGAATTAATTTAAATGTCAAAAAATATTAATTTTCTAAGAAATCATTTTATTAAAATGAAAAATTACATAATTTTTTTTTTTTTGCTTTTTTAATTTTGTTTATTTAATTCCAGACTTTAATTCAATCACCCAATAAAATGGAATATTTTATTTAATTTTTTTTTTAAATTCATTTTTATTATATGAATAAAATTATTCTTTTGCTTACGTTTTCACGTAAAATAATCAATTAAATTTTAATGTGTCATTAAAATACAAATGAAATTTGTTAAAATGAGCATTCAATGAATTTTGAAACTTCAAAATTTAATATTGAAACAAAAAAAAAATTGTCCTTTGAAATTTTTATCCTGATAAGAAAATTTTAGAAATTAAATGTAAAAAAATGTAAATAATTAATAGAAAACAATCAGAAAGATAACTTTTTTTTGTAATAATGAAATGAATGATAATGAAATTTTTATTTATAAAATAAACTTTCAGTAAAATTACACGTGACGCATAAATAATACCTGAAATTAATTTCTTAGAATTTTTATTTAATACAATTTAATTAAATAAAATTTTCTTCCAGTCGAATTTAAATTTGTTCAATTTATTTTTTGACAAAATTTTTCTATTAAAATGATTTTCCATATCAGAGAATTTTTTTTATATAATCGAAAATTCATTTCATTTCGAATTTTCATTTAACATAATTCGGCAAAAACAGAAGGAAATTTTATTAAATGAAAAATTCTAATAAATTAATTTTAGGAATTATTAATGCTTCTTAATTATGTAGAATAATAATTGTCAATAATATTGAGTTTTAACGTCGAAATGTTAAAAAAATAATTCTTTACCACAATATTTCATTTTGTTATTGAAATCAAATTTAATCAACTATATTGCAAATTAGTTGATTGTTCACATGGAATTAGATTTTATAAGGAATAAAAGTCAATTGGTAAATCAGAAGATTACAATAAATAGTTCAGATCGTTGAGATGTTAAACTAACAATAAAAGAGATAAGAAAGAAGAAATAATCTAAACAAGCTGAATATTTTTCTCTTTTTTTTTAGAAATAGAGATCGAAAAATGTTTTTTCTACATTTTCTTGGGTGACTGATAAAAAATGTCTGATTGTAATAAAAGAGAAAATTTTCTACAGAGAAATATATAAAGATCAAGAATAAATTAATATATTAAAGTTATTTAAAGTAATTTTTGCAGAAAATTAAAATAATTCATTGTAAACAGTGATCCATTCTTGCCCACTCTCCCTTATTTTATGTGATAAACAAACTCATGCAAAAAAAAAATTTCTTTACCTTCAAATTATTTTTTACGTTGATCATCCACATTTTGTACATTCTCAAAAAATAGTCTTTACAAAATGTCCTACCCCCGATACAAAATTATTTTACATTTTCCTATTCGTTTCATTTTTTTTTTTTTTTTTTTTTTTTTTTTGCTGCTCATTTAATTTTTTCTGACTCGTTCTTATTGCGTCACTAAGAACAAAATGATGGGTTATAATCAAAAACGTGAATTTCATACCAAAAATAGTATGAAATAGTAGAAGTATAGTAAAAAATAATTCTTACCTTCTTTTTTCTATTTTTGAAGTGTTTGTTTCTGAAATATCATGTTTGTGTCGATGAAAAAGTATTTAGAGATGAACCAAATATCTTTCATTGTAATGAACTGATGATATCGAAATATTTTCTCCCCAAGTGTTATTAAGAAGTTTACACGAGGATCGAATTTATTATGAATGTTGCAGATCCCAGGAGATAAAATATTTTGTATCTCATAGTGTAAATTATGAATTAATAAATGAAATAAGAAAATTCATCTCAATGTTGATGTGCTCAGTAGAATGATGATTTTCTTCACGTGTAGATATGAAGAAAATTGAAAATAGTAAATTCAATCATAATTTTCAACGTGTATTTTGTTGAGAGTTAAGAAAATAATTTGACTAATTTTCAATGATTGTCGCAGTGATGGCAATTTTTAACAAATATTATAAAAATTAATCTCTATTTTTTTTTTTTACAAAATTTCAATAAAATATAAATTATAATTTTCAAGTTTCGTTGTTACAGAAAATATTTTTTTCACTCGACGATATTAAATACATATTAATCCATTTTACATTAAACTGATTTTTCGATCGATGAACTATGAAATAAGACATACTCACAATATTTACTTACAAATAAAAAATAACATTCCTCCTCTTTTTTTTTTAGATCGAACGTAATTGATATAATTCTTAATTAAATCAAAAAAATATTTGTGTGAAATAAATAAATAAATTATTTTGAATAACTAGCTATTTTTGTTTTAATTAAATATTTAATCGATTGACATATTTTTTATTTCTTTTGTTAAAATAATGTATTAGCATTTAATTTCTTATTGATTCTACAAGGAAAAACATCTGTTTCACCAAAACAATGTTTCTTTTCTTTAGTATAAATTGTTTATTTCTTCCTTTTAGAACCAATAATAAAATACTAAATCTTAAGTGATAAACACTTGCAGGTTGCACTTTGAAATTCACAAAATTCATAGGAAAACGAAAAAAAATTGTATGCAATAAAATTTAAAAAATATAATTATAAAATCGACACAAAAATCTATAAGTGCATCCTCCAGATGTTGACCGCTTGGGTTCTTTCCTCTCTTTTCTTTCCAAGGGAAAAGAGTCCCTTTTATTAGTAATAAAATTGAACCGCCAGCAACTGTTTTCTTTATTTTTCTTTAAATATAATATCATACGATAAAATAATAAATTTTAATTATTAATGTTTTATATACATATAAAGTTTTTAATAATTATTATTGAATTGTATTCATATAATTTTGACTATTTCTCTTTTTTATGTATACATATGAATATTTATATGTGTGTAATTGTGTGCATAATTATTTAATATTATATAATTAAATAATTATAAAAATTTGTATTTTCTAAATAATTTTTAATAGAACTCTTGTAATTTTGAAAATTCGTTTAAAAAGTGAATTTTGGCTCCATATTTTAAAAATAATTTTAATTTTAGATCCCCACTTTTTCAAGACATAAAATCTTCCGCGACAATTGGGAAGCAAGCATTTTATACTCGGGGAGCGAATATATTGATTCCGTGGAGAAAGTCTGTGAAAAGTAGAAAGAAAAGAATTCTATACATGATGAATATTGAAACCGCATCCGCGGATCATCAAGTCTGTCAAGACAGTCGCGGATAAATTAAATCTAATATATCTCTTGTGCATTAACGGAAAATGGGCTTAAGCACCACCTATCGGACAATTATTCAATGTAAAAAAAGAATTAATTACTTAATTATTTAATAATTTAGGTAATTAATTTTTTGTGAGTTGAAAACAAGCAACATGCTTCTTCAGACAGACGTGGCAACATTGAAATCTGTAATAGTTACTCAAAAGGAAAATATCCCAAAACCTAAAGGTCCGTGAGCCATGAGTACGTAGCAAAGGAAGTCCTAATAGAAAAGGAGCATCATACGCTTTTATATGGACTACAAAGTGGGGATGCATCTGCTGCATATCAAGCATTCGAGAATGTTTCTAAGAGGAGAGCACCTACTAAATTTGAGGTGGACACAATCCTATCTTTCGATTGGGCTGACAAAGCTCGGTTAAATGACTACTGCAAATTTATAGATAGAATGATCATCGGTAAAAACTACCATGACGATGATCCCAAGCTTTGCTTCATATGTAAGGAATGTTGAAAATTCACGGGTAAAAATTTATACTAAATATATCATATATCGATAAATGTATTACCAACCGCAGAGTACACCGATGTAGTACCCGATCGCGCCGCGTGAGGTACATTATAGAGTTCTCTCGCATGCGTTCTGGCCACCGATCGGCTATATAAGCTGCGCTCCCGCAGAGAATCGTTACTCTTGTGCTTCACAGGGTCGATGAGGGTTTCACCCTCATCACAAGGGGTCTTACGTCGTTGTCAACAATTTGACAATTCTCAGAATTCTAATGTCAATAGAATACGTCGACAGTTGTTTTCTCTGCGAGCTGAAGAACAGTTAAATCAAGAATACATCTTCAAGTATTAATTTTGTTTACCGTCAAGATCAATCTCTTCAAAAAGTCATAAATTAATTAATTAATGAAATAATTTAATTATATTTGTTCGGTATACCTTTTTTTTACTCTGCTTTCTTAGTTCTAGTGTTAAACTTGTAAATAAATCAGGGATTATATAAAAAATTAAAACATTAATTATGTTAATGAATGTTAAAGAATTAAATTATTAAATTTTATTTTTGTCATATGTATTAGAAATTAAGTTACTATCAAAGTTACAATTTTACTGCCAAAAAAATTTTTTTTGGCATTTCATACTTGTTAATTTATTAAGTAAATGGATTATTATATATAATTAAAGAAAATAAATACATCACTTATTCAATATATTTCATAAGCTTTACAATTAGTGATTGAACGTACTTTAAATATTTCGTATTTTCAACAAAGTTAATAAGTAAAGATTATTTTTGCAAATGTAATTGGATGGTTCGCAATTATAAGATTAATAAAAATTTGAAATTATAAGTTTGTAATTGAAATGAGAATCATTAAACAATATTATTTAAAAAATTTTTGCCATTTCATACTTGTTAACGAATTAAAAAAAATTAAAATCAACTTTAAATAAACAAATGAAAATTATGAAAGTAAGAACTTAGAATCTACGATGGCTATTCTTTTGTTACTATAGTAAAAAAAAATTAGACTAAATTAGAACAAGATATTTGAATTTAATGTCACGTTTCCGCGGCGTAATTGCAATATTATTTCGGAAAAAGTGTCACACTTTTCGCATCTTTCTCTTTAAAATTAAAATTATTGTGTTCATAAAAATATTATAATTACAGTTATAGAACCAACAATACGACAAGAACACTGACATCAT